ATAACTTGAAGATCTTCAATTTTACTATAAATTATTAAGTAAAATTTATAAAATCTGGTAATTTATTGTAGGGTAGTATATAATAATCACGTAAGCACCTCACCAGATTTTTATTTATTATGCTTATTTTGTTTTAATATAGTTGAAATTTTAGGTATTTATATTATTTGTTGCCAAATTACTGCTGCTACAGTACTTATACGTATAAATTAATCTTACACTATTTCAGAACTTATAATAATATTAGTTAGTAAAATAAATAAAATATACAAAATATAAAATATAATATTTAAAAAAATACTGACCTTTATATCTGAATATAAGAAATATGCAAGTAAATGTTTATCAAAATCAAATTCTTTAAAACGAGTATTAAAATTTTTAATGCAATATTATCAAAATATTTTATGGATTAATTTTAGAATTTTTTTTATAATTGCATCTAATTGTGCAAGTAAAAAAAGCAGTCAGCAAGGGTAGCATCTTGATTTTCTAATAAATTAATTGATTCTTTTATTGGTTTGATAATAGTTGTCAAATCTTGAATATCGTAAAAATCTACATTTATATATTATTATATTTTGAATAGAATTATTGATAATTATATCAGAATTTTTAGTAATAATCTTTAATAAAAAAAATAAATAAATAAATAAGAATATTAACATATTCAAAATAATTATAATTTACCTCTTTTAAATATATTTCTAATCGTAAAATTAATTGAAACATTTTGTATACTATAGTCTAACTTGTATTAACATAAGTTTTTAAACTACCTTCTTTAATATTTTTTTCTTAATTTATCTTCAAAAAGTTTTTAGATAAATGACATTTTTAAAATAAGTTGTTATAATATTTGACTATTTTAAAATTTGAGTGGCAAAATGCATGCTTAATAAAATCTTTAGTAATTAGATTAAAGCAATGTGTTATACATCTAATATTAATTATATAAGAAAACTTTTGAGTAATAATTTTTTATGTTAAATTGATATTTGAATCAGAATCTATAACAATTGCTGAAAATCTATGGATTTCAATTTCATTTAAAATTTCTTAAATTTTTAAAGCAAGATTTTCAGCTGTATGACTATGATCTGATAAGTCAGATATATACTAAAGAATTTTTTCCATCAGGAATATATATTACAAAATTTCACAAAGATTTTTCTGATAAACTTATCTAACCATTTAGTACTATAATAAAAAGATAAATTAATATAAGTATTAAATTATATTATATTAAATAAATATTTTATTTATTTAAAGTTAAATTTTTTTTCAAGTAATTGGTAAATTTTTATATTAACATGAAGGATTTCATTATTTAATAAAAAGCTGGCAAAAGTTTTCCTATTTAGTAAATTAAAGTTTTTTGATTCTCATTGTATTTCATTTAATACTAATTATATTTTCTGGAGATTTTTCGTGTGTTTCTATAATATATTGTACTGCTTTTTTTACAATCAACTAAAATATAACGTTCCATTGCTGATGCTTTTCTTCGTTGCCATATTGTATTGCAAGTAGAACAAATAGCAGACCAATAACTATCACCTTGATTTAAACCTTTAGTAAAAAAATTCTATATTACTACACATGATCTTTCACCTTTCTTTTTTCTATATCATGATTGATAGAGTTCTGAATAAGTTGAGTCAAGTCGAGTTTAAAGATCAACTCTATTTAATTCTCTTTTTTCGAGTTGAGTCAAGTCAAATTTATTTTATAAAATCTTACAATTTGATTTGATTTGAGTTATATAAATTTTAAATTCGACTTAATTTGACTCAACTCAATTTTAACTTGATTCGATTTTGAAAAAATAATAAAAAAAAATGAAAAGATCGGGAAGGGAAGAGTGAACGATTTGTTATCGTTCTTCTTGAACGATAAAAAAAATCATTCAAGTTGAATGATTCGTCATTATTCAAGTCAATTCCAGTCAACTTGAGTCAACTCGAATCAAGTCGAGTTTAAATTGAGTCAAGTTAAATATTTAACTCAACTTGAATTTGGCTTGACTTGTAAATCATCGAGTCAAAAAACATAAACTCAACTTAATTTAAACTCGACTTAGCTTATCTGACTCGTGAGTTAACTCAACTCATCCGAAACTCTAATGATTGATTCATTTTTACCTAACATTTGTTTTTATTAAGATAATAATAATTGATGATTTATTTTAAATAATTACAAATTACAAATTACAAAAAAAAATTTAAATTTTATTTTTTAAGTATGACAAAAAAATTTGTATTACATTTATATGAAATTATCATATATTTATGTATTTTTGGGATTTCAGCATAGGTTTGAGATTTTAATACAAATTTGGAATTTTGATAATAGATTTAGAATTTGAATTTTAGCAACTAGTACATGCTAAAAGTCAAAATATTTTAACATAAAACAAATATGTTTCAGCATCCAAATTTATATTAAAAAATCACATTTTTTTAAATTTGTCAACAAATTTACCTAAGAGATTTATGTTTTAATTAAGCAATTTAAATTTATTCATATAATAAAAAAATTAAAAATTAAAAAAAATCAAATTTAAAAAATTAATATTTTTTAAATTTCTCCTTTTTTGCACTTCTTCTTTTCTGTAATATTTCTTTTGATATAAATTAATATAAAAAAAATGAGTATTTTAATTATTTATAAAAAAAAAAAGATATATTTCTTTTTTTATTTCTATTAATTAAATCTTCATTTTCTTTTTCTTTAATATTTGTTAATATAAAGTTAATATAAAAATTATCATTTATGTAATGAATTAATAAGAATTTTTTAATTTACCTAAATTTTTATCATAAGATAAATTAAATTTTGTGTTGAGATTGAAGATAATGCTAGAGGTGATGTTGATGCTGATGCTGATTTCACTGGTTTCATCATTGGTAGCTTCACTTTCATTTTCTTTTTTGTTTTAATATTAATTAGCATAAAATTAAATTTAAGAATTTTTATTATCATGTATTAGAAATAAAAATTTAAAAGTTACCTAAATAATTTTTAGAAACCTTGCTTTCTTATTAATATTGGAGGTAACACTGGCTTTGATATTATTGGCTTTAATTTTAATATTAGCTTTGGCATTAACACTGGCGTTGGCTTTAGCATTGTCACTGAAATTAGTGCTGGTATTAGCGTTGGCACTGGCTTTGATATTGATATTGGTACTGGCATTAGCATTGGTGGTGACACTAGTGATAGCACTAGCAAACATTGCGTTTTTTGCAACGTTTACTAGGTTCTGAGAATAAAAATCAAATAGTCTATTAGCTTCACGTATTGCATCATCAATTGGTGAAAGTTCTGCATAATAGAAATGAATAAGTAAGTTTGGTTATTCGATATTATTGCAGATCTATAATGGGACAACATAATCAAAAAGTAAGATCACTCTATTTATTACGACTCACTTACCAGCAACGAGTTGCTCTATGATAATGTGTTTTTGGAAGGGTTTGACGATAAGAAACAGGAATGAAAAGCATAAAAATAAGTAGTATTCGGTATTTTTGACGAATATGGCACAGCATGAGCGAAAATGAAATTCACATACCTCCTTTAATTCATTAATCACCTTTTCGATATCTTTAGCTGGTCCACTCGGTATTTTCCACCTTTCAAAATTTTCTGCGGTAAAATCAAGAAAATTTGAACCATCAACTTCTTGATCTACTGTGATAATATTTGCATGTTTATTATTATTCTTAGTATCCTTCAGTCTCCATTTCAAATATTTGTTAAGTTGTTCACTGTCCAATCTCTTTACTTTGTCAACCGTCAAAGGAGAAACACTTGTAGAGTCATTAAGGAACTTGCAACGTTAGACGACATAATTTCGCAATTAAAAAAGTATGAAAAGAGTAGAAAAATTTTATAAATATGGGGCTTCGTCAATAGAAACACATAATAAATTATTAAGTAAGAAGGTGCGTTTCTATTGATGAAGCCCATATATGAGAAATCGATTGTCACACAGATCACCTGATTCATTAGTCAAATAACCTTTAGCGTCTACACTAATAAATTCTAAAAATAGATTGTTTTGTGCAATACAGTGGCGATCAAAAATAACGAATTACTGGAATAAAAATCGAAAACTATTAATATCACGTGATCTATCGATGATTGACTTCCGAAACAAAGAAATTTAAAAA